TTTGATAAATTCAGGATCTTAAAGGTTCTGTCTGATGTGGTCTAATGTATGCTGCTCTATATATGTTTAATGCTTTCAAAATATCTCTCTTCCTTTGTTTAAATCACAGCATTCATGACCTGTACATAATGCTCTCTCCTGCCATCCTTAAGTCTCAACCTCCTCAAAACTACAGAATCTGTAAAAACATCTCAAGCAAATATTGGCATTTCCTCCATTCTAGACTGTTTTAAATTAGTTTATAAGCAATGTGTCCAAAAGTCATGCTCATATGAAGCATGGCTTTTGGACACATTGCTTGGTGTAATTTTCTTGCAGGTTACTTTTATACTGTTATCAGAGTGTGTTTGCAATTCATTTGGAAATAAATTCTACTACCTTACACCACATCTAAAGTAAGCAGTAGTTAAAGAGTATGGCTATAGAAAGCCATGGGACTAATTTCTCTAACCAATAGCAATTGCAGGATAGGCACCAGGATTCTTCTTTGTAAACCTCTTGGAAACTGCCATTTATGGTGAATCTCATCTCAGTAACAGGAATATGAATGAGAAGAACAAACAACCTACTACTGCATTAAGTTTTGCTTCTACTATTCCTATCCTTGTATCCTGTAAAACTTCTTTAACAAAAAACAAAGTCAGTATTTCTGCATGTTTCACAGTAAATGACAAAGAGCAAAGTTTCCAGCTTTGGCCTGGTGCTATATCACCTTGTGCTGGAATCCACACAGACCTTGTAAATTAGTATGGGACTCAGTCAGTTCTTCGGTGAGTATTGTCCTCATATTAATTTATTGATAGGTGCTACAGAATGAGTGGTGGCAATTCAAGCTACTGTTCAGTTCAAGGTGTACCTTCAGCCTCTTCTCCTTCCCCCATCCTCATCCAGTTTGCTGCCCTAGTGCTGAGAGCCAGTGCAATGCTGACTTCTGGCTGATCTAAAACACAGATCTCAAAGAAATTCTCTCACCTCCTAAAGACCTTATCTGAAGCCCATTAAGTCTGATGAGAGCCTTCCCATTGACTTCAGAAGGCCTCAGATCCAGTCCCCCAGGGAAAAGATGTTAACACTTGTGCATTCTTAAACCAGCCAGGAGAATTTTTTGAAATCAATATCTCTCTATCAATATTGGTACCTAAAACCCCTAAAATACAACAAAGACACTTCTTGTGAGTTCTGCCAGATGCAGGGGAAAAAATAGAAAACAAGCCCTTAGGAGACACCATTACCTAAAATAAGCAGCTGAGTCTGAGCAGTGACCACAACAGCTACAAAACAATATCCTAACCTTTCTGTGTTTGTACTCACTCAGCTTTGCTTTACTGTACTCCCAGCTCCACACTGAATGCACTAAATGACTCACATTACACACACTGCAACAAAGGCAGTTATACCCCAATCTTCATTAAGGTCTTAATGCAGCAAGGTACTTAAGCACATGCCTAACTTTAAGTACAAGGGAAGTCTAATTAACTTCAATGGGACTGCTTGCTTGCTTTAAGCCAGGCATGTGCTTAAGTACCTTGCTGAAACTGAGAGAAAGACTCCAGGTGCTACCATTTATACAAGTGTCATTAAACACAGAGTTAGAGTACTTAGATACACAAACTTCCTAACCCCTAAAACCACATCAAATTATAGCACTTACTAGAAAACAGCAAAGGTGAGCATGTTGATGAAGCATCACATACCTCAATATACATATATAAGCATTAAAGTAATCAAAAATACAATATCCCATGCACATTTTCAGCATTCCACCTATAGTTTGTCTGTGCATAGCTGTTCCTTCAGATTTCAGGTTTCAGTAGCCAGGGACTGAAGACCTCTGAAAGGCCTGTGAAAAAGACCTGATGTGATAATAATACCATCTGTGACTTAGGTATAAAAGAACAAAGAATTGAAACTGGAAATGGGGCAAAACAAAAACTGTTTAGGTTCCTTAACACTCCTATTTTGTACTTTCAAGCATTTATGTTATTTTTTAGTCAATTCGAATTTCTTGTATTTTTAGTGCCCATTTAATTGTCATCAGATTGAAGTTAAGCCACTCACTTGCTGTGTGACTGCAGGCAAGTTGCTTGACCTTCTTTTTAGTCCTCTTATCTGACTTTATAATCCAGCACAAATGGGAGCTCACTAAAATCTAGAAGCTGTGTGTGTGCTGAGCAGAATAACTTGGCTATTCTACTGGTTAGTTCATTAACAAGGTCAGAAAAAAATTTTCTGGGAAAGGACAACCTCTCTCAGGCCAGGCAGGTTTTAGTTCTGCCTATTTTCCATGACATTTTTTTGAGTTGTGTTTCTTCATTAGCAGTTGGACTCCCTGAGCTTAAAGGTGTTTTCAAACCGAAATGAGTCTATAATTTGTTAATTCTGCAATTAAGAGTTGCAGCAAAAAGCAACAAATTGCATATTTGGAGTTGCACAAAGGTTCCTACTTACAAATCTGGAACACAAAAAGTTCGGTCTCCTTTCTCCATTCTCAGTGCAGCTCACAGCTTGACTAAGGGACTGGCATCCTTTCTCTGCGAGTATGTGGCTAAGAACCCAAAACTATGCACAGACTGTGGATTATTCTTGGATATCTCTGTTTCGTAAATACAAATGTTAAATAAAGTTTGCCTCATGCTCAGGACAATAGGAAGTGACTGCCTCAGACTGAAAATGAAGGGTTCAACCCACAAGGAATAGTGTACCTGAAGGAGATCAGGAAAATTCTGTCTTAGGATGAGGGGAGAAAGATAACAGACAAAGCTAATTGGTATGACTTTCATTTTATATATGACAGTTAAATACTATGGTGATGAGCATAGAACTGGTTTTTTCTTCTTTCAATTGATTATCTGATTATTTTGCTGAGGTCAGTAGCAAGTGTCTCTGACCTCATTGTTTGCTGAAGCAACTGTATTGTCACCAGCACTGGAGTGGAACATTGCTAACTGAATGGGTTAAGAAAAGTGCTCATAAAAATGCTGAAATGCTTTCTGTCTTTCATAACCAAGACCATTACTGTATAAAAGGAGATCCTGACAAGAGCATTACACTGGACAATTGCTTCAAATAATCATTTGTTAAACATCATTTTACCCACCAATTATTCTACATACTGCTCACTTCTGAACTGTTGGATGCCCTAAAAATCATCAAATACTTGAAATTAAGATTTATTTGAGGAAAAAGTGACATGGAAAGCATTTCTAGAGTGTTTCTCACAGTGAAGAAAGCTATGCATTTACAAAGTTACACAATTTCTCAAAGAGTATTTGAGTATTTGAAAACTGTTAAAAGAGAAGAGGCGAAAAACCTGCTGTCTTAGTTCTTTTCAAACAAAAAAGTGCTTTGCTTGATTTTATAAGCAACATGCTGTTCTGTTGTCAGGCTTTCTGCATCTGTTATATCATGGGTCTTGACAACATCATAGGCCAATGTCCCTTGTGATTGAAGTAAAGTATTAAATTTTAGTATCCAGAACAAGGTGATATTTCAAAGGCCAGACTGTTATTGAGCTTGCAGGTGATAAGTCTCAAATTCTGAAATTCTGCATTTTATAGAGAAGCACAACTGCTGACTTCAAAAATAAGTTTATAAGAAATTGCCAAGCACAAATGAACAAAGTTCCCAGTGGTCTGGACCTGATTACAGCCCGAGGGTTCCAGGGCAGAGTGCAAATTACTTTTCTTGAGCTTCTCTGTGGCTTCTTCACTTTACAGAATAAGAAACACCTGCTGGTAGTAGTGTTAGAGAAGATTACACTAAAGTCAGGCCTCAACCTTACTTGAGAGTGACAGAAGAAAATTCTTGTAACTGAAATCTATTTTACACAAGTAATAAAGCTGCAGCAGTACAGTTGAAATATTTGTATACTGCCGTTGTAATATGGGGTAGAGAAATAATATGAGATATTCCACCTGGAGTCCATCTCTGGACCACCCAACATAAGAACATCCAGCTCTGGGGCTCCCAAAATAACAAGCAGGTGCTGGAGTGAGGCCTTAGAGGACCACTAAGATGATCAGAGGGCTATTCAACAGCATCTATTCAGCAGACTCCAGCACAGCACATTCCAGTATCCAAAGGGGACTAGAAGTGACATGGGGAGGTGCTTTTTGAAGGTCACACGGTGATAGGACAAAAAGTAATAGCTGTAAACTAAAAGAGAGCAGATTTCAGTAAAAGGAAGAAGTTTTTTCCTGTGCAGGTGTTGAGGCACTGGCACAGGTTGCCCAGAAACACTGTGTGTTCCCCATCCCTGGCAGCGTTCAGGGCCAGGTTGGATGGAGCTCTGAGCAGCCTGCTCTAGCAGAAGGTGTCCTTGCCCACGGCAGAGGGGCTGGAGCTAGACAATCTTTAAGGTTCCTTCCAACCCAAACCATTGTATGAATCTGTGATTCTATGAAGTTTCATGGTTTGCTGAGGAATATTCTGCTTGAGCAGTAGATCACATGAGTGCAAACACCTCTCAGCATCATTAGTGCAGAATTGTCCAGTTTTCAGGCTGTAAACAGTGAATGTAAACACATTAACCTTAGGCATCATAAGATTGCAGCTGTTGATCTTTCCTGCAGGGAATCACCAGACTGAGAAGTGTCATACCCATTCCCTTTGAAGGGATGTAGGTTCTGCCTGGATGGTGAAGTCTGCATTTTTTTTCTCCAAAAGTATGGAACTGACTAGTGCTTTCAGGAGAAATAATGTGAATTGCAAAAGGTAGATATGATAAATAGGTCTTTGGGTAAACAGCCAACACAAAACACTGTGATGCTCACTTCATCTGTGGAATAAACCAAAATCCTCTATTCTACAGTAAGGATTTATGAAAAGAAAGAGAGCACCTAAAATAAACTTTCACACTTGGTCCCCACAAAGGGTAACTGAGCTCTTGACTGACATCAGAGTAAATTCACAGGTAAACACCATTTCCTTTACTAAGCAACATTCCTGACATAGGGGTCATTCTGTTCTGTGTCACCCACTATCAGAAGGACAGCAATTACCTTATAATTAACCATTTGATTAATTCCATCTTCCATCCAACTGGTCGCATAAAAAAAAATCTGTTTCTATGATGATGGAGGGGGCTGTAAAAGACAAGAGAATTTGGAAAGACAAAAACAATATGACACCGAAAATTAAGGAGGTAAACAACTTAACAATGAATTTCTGCAGAACTGAGCTGAAGTCAGAAAAACATAGAGTAAAGCCAACCTTTTTGTCTGCTTTTACTACAACTAATGAAACATTAACTATAATACATATCCATTGGTGATCATATTTCATTTGATAATCCATTAGGGCCTCACATAGTTCTCTGCTTTTTCATATAAAACATAATACTTTAGGGGGAGGGAAGCTGCCAGACAGAGGCGGAAGAGGATTTGTACTCACACTGTGTGCTGGCACAATAATGTTCTTCCTGCTGAACTAATGGCTCTTCGTAGGGTTTAGGTCAAAGAGTTTAATGGAGCTTAGCTCTGGATGTCTCAGTAACTTCTTAGATTCTAAAACTGAACTTCTTTAGTCTTAAAATACAAATGATGATGGTCCTAATAAGGAGACACGATCCCAAGCAGACTTGAGAATGAAATATATGTCAACAATGCTAAAACAGATTATATAATTCTTTCAAAACACACTGAAAAAGATGTCTGTTCCTTACCACAGACAAATTCATTGTTTTCTGAAGTTCTTCAAGGCAGAGAAGAAGGTGAGGTTGTTTGCACTGAGAATGCTTGCTACATCTTGTTTAACTCCTGAGATTTAAATACATATCTATATTTTAAAAAATACTGACCTCTCATATCTGCGTATATTTTGATTTTTTTGTTATGTGGCAACATGTGGAAAGAATGCAAAAATCACGTCACCACATTATATTCCAAGACACAGCGTAAAATACCTTACTTCTTTGTCAGCTACAAATGTCACTTCAAAAAAAGTAAGAGATCTTTATTAAAGTTTTGGTTTTTTCAGACTTTCCACTTTTACCTTTCTCTACCTCTCTAAAAGTTTCTTCTCATAACATAGAACTAACATTACAGACCATCCATTACTACTTGACCACCCAGATTTCTTCAATAACATGAATCTTCTTCTGCCTGATTTTACTGCATACTGGATTCTCCTTATATATGTTCTACAAGTGCACTTGAATCCACCAACAATTCCCTATTAAAGATATTGAAAGGTATTGTGTTGTTTCCAAAAAGAAATATCCTGCAATTTCTTTCAAAATAAAGATGTTTTTTTTTAATTTGAAATTAGGAATGAACAAATAAAACTTGTAATTCTCTTTCACAAAATTGATTGGTTTTGGTGTTTGGTTGTTTTTGGTTTGGTTTTGGTTTTTGGTTTTTTTTGGTGTTTTTTTTTTTTTTAATTTGAAATTAGGAATGAACAAATAAAACTTGTAATTCTCTTTCACAAAAGTGATTGGTTTTGGTGTTTGGTTGATTTTGGTTGTTTTTGTTTGTTTGTTTGTTTGTTTGTTTGGGGGTTTTGGGGGGTTTTTTTGGTTTTTGGTGGGTTTTTTTTTTTGTTGTTGTGTTTTGCTTTGTTTTGAGGGGTTTTTTGGGGTTTTTTTTTTGTTTTTTTCCTGGGTTGGCAATTTCGATCCTGACAGGTCTGGGTCATTTCCTTGGTCAATAGATAGAAAAATAGATATGAAGGATAAGGAAAAGATGGGTTTTTTTGGGGGGTTTGTTTTGTTTTTTTCCTGGGTTGGCAATTTCGATCCTGACAGGTCTGGGTCATTTCCTTGGTCAATAGATAGAAAAATAGATATGAAGGATAAGGAAAAGAGATGCCCTAACTTTGGAGAAGAGACGTAAGTCAGCAACATACGTAAGTCTGTAACATACCTTAGCTATCATATGCTGGAAGTTTCTGTTATAGCATTTGTGCAGGAATGAAAATGCAAAAAATCTAGAGAATCAAAAAGCAAATATTTAATTCAAGAAGATCAAGTATCCTTACATCATGCCGCTATGGAGACCTCTTGTGTCCTACACATACTGGTAGATAAAACTGAAACAAAACAAAGTAAAATAAAGTCCAAAGCCATAAATATTGTTTCAGATGTGGGTCACAGCAGTCTAATAAGCTGTAATGTACCTGGCACACTTGTAGGTCTTTCAAAACAATACCATCTTCAAAGAGAGAGAGAGAGGGTTTTGTTTTTTTTACTCCAAAGCTTTTTTCTCCATAGGATTTTACACATTTTCTTTAAAGGTATATACTCAGCTTTAGGAGTGTCTTGTGCCAGCTGTCATGCACAGTCACTTAAGATCCTTCCAGCCCTTTTGCTTCCCTTGAAAGTCATCAAGCAGCAACAGGGGGACCTGGAGATTGTAACATCCTTGTGAACTGCTGGGGGTAGAGAAAGAGCCTGATTCCCTTCTTCTTCACAGGGGTGTAAACTGGGAGTGTTGTCATTCAACTGCATCTTGAATGAAACTGCCTCATCAGCCTCATAAATCCAAGGAGAGAATTTGGTACAAAAGGATAAACAGAAGGAAACAGAGGAGGAAGCCCATTCTTCCAGCTTCTGCCTTAACTCCTTTCTGCAGCTAGGAACAGCTGATGTAGAATCTGCATTTTCTAAAAGGAAATTATCCTCCAAATTGGATCTCAGGGTTCATTTAGTATAGATAAAACCTAGAGTTCAGTTTATGCATGTAACCTTTGGAGTAAAAAAAAAAATAATCTCTCTCTCTCTTTTTGAAGATGGTATTGTTTTGAAAGACCTCAAAGTGTGCCAGGTACATTACAGATATATTAGACTGCTGTGACTCACATCTAAAGCAATATTTATGGCTTTGGACTTTATTTTACTTTGTTTTGTTTCAGTTTTATCTACTAGTCTGTGCAGGACACAAGAGGTCTCTATAGCAGCATGATGTAAGGATGCCTTGATCTTCTTGAATTAAATATTTGCTTTCAGACTTCACTGTCAGTTGTCCACTACGGGGGGAATCTGAAGCCCAATTTTGTGTGATGAGAAAGCTGAGTAGTATTAGTTACAAAATATAGGTAGGTTCTATTCCTCCTCTAATGTTTTGGTTGTAAGTCACCGACAATTCTGTTAGTGTAGCTCAATTAATAGAAACACTTCTTTAAAAATACTTAAATTTGCCTTATTTTGCTTTAGTTTGAGGTCTGTGTTTGTTGGAGGCTTTTTTAATTCCTAGGGGAAAACTAAAAAAAACACCCCACAAAACAAAACAAACCCCAAAACATTAAAAGAGGTAAAAACCTCAGCTATACATAATTTTGTACTGGGGCATCATGATTGAGATTTCTGAAGAAATCAACATTTTGTTGTATTGGAGATTACAGTACCTCTTGCAAACAGGTGATAAAAGTGCCTATCTCAGTGGTTATCAGCTTGTTCATGTGCATAATTACTTACAATGCACTACCCCTCTATGGCCTCACAATAACAGTAAGGTTGTTGCACTTTATTTGTATTTTTAGAAGATATTTTAGTATAGGTTTTGTGTGTGTGTAAATCCAGATTAGTGCAGCACTGAGTTTTCCTTTCCTGAAAGCTAGGAAGAAATAAAGAAGAAAATGGTAACTAATTGATAATAGGGAAAAAAATAAGAGGGAGCAAGAATAACAAAGAAAAGGAAAAAAAAAACTATTTAGAGATTGGATGCTGGGAGAAAGTACTGAGCTAGGTATAATAATTATAATATACATACTGAGCTATGTATAATAACTCCAAAATATACAAGAAAAGATCGAGAAAATCCAGGCTGCAGAAATCCATTAAAAAGTGAAAAGAATCAATTTAATTTATCACATTAAACAAATGGGAAAAACCAACGGCAGACCTAATACAGATGTTTTGCAGTATAGTGGGAAAATGAAGACATTTTCAAGCAGCAAGGCTTGCAAGTCATCGTCTTGAAATGCTTAGATCAGGTGGCACTCTCTGTTAGAAAAGTAAGCTCTGTAATGATATTGATTGCTTCCAAGGCCATATTAGAGATGAAGACAAGTCCCAGGAGAGAGGTTGTTGTCACCTTGACCTTGGGTCAGAGCTGGACCACTGACCCCTGACACCCAGGACTTCTGCACTGCATCGTGATATCTTTCATGCCTACAGACAAAGTCAGCAGGGGACATGTGTCGATGTGGCCCTTGCCAAATCAGAATTGACTGGCCTGTAGGAAGCTGGAGAGCAGCGGGAAATGTGGGTTAAAGTATGTCAATAATGTTTCACAAGAACAATTTCTCCCAAGAATTGTAGCTGTTGGAATGTTTTGACATTTATTCGGTAGAGAAATGTAGCATGTTTTGTGAAGCACTTCAAGAGAGCTGCTGCTAACTGCCGCGGTGTATTGATCTTCCTGTTAAATTGCATGGGCACACTTGGGAGATCATTGAGATTCAGGCAACAGGACAGAAAGGATCGGCTGCACCCGATGGTCACTAATGGTAATTGGTTTCGATCCTTGCACTTGAAGAAGCCGTGATTTACTTGGTTCACAGATGAATTGTAGACACTAAATATTTTGAAAAGAAAATATACTGTGATTTCTTTTTCTCATGTCATTTACAAATTATTGCCTCCACTTCGAATGTTTCATACAAAGTATAGAAATCCACATGACTCAATATAAGAACATGCTAAGCAAAATTTCAAGGAATTCCCTCTTGCCTGTAAAGCTCGCTTTGGTGCAAAGCAAATGAACTTTCTGATCCTAATATAAATGAGTTAATTAAATAATTATAAAAAAATTAGCACAATCTTAAAAATGCATCAACACTCTTAAGACTTCCTATAATCACAATACATCATTTTTACATTTTACACATTCTTCTCTCTATCCCATTTGGTGATGTATCATCACAGTCTTAACACAATGAATGTTAAAAAGAAGTGTATTGAAGGCAACTACAGAAGTAGAACAATGTAGGCAGGTATGACTAGCAATGTAATATTGAAGTAAATGATACTGGAATGAAGAATCTGATATGAAAATTGGATACTAATGTTAATATCAGAGTAAATTATTGCTATGATACAGGAGCTGATATAAAAATTGGAGTATACTTCCAAAAACGAATATGATTATAATGCTGCCAAAATTCATGCCACACATGATTTTCAAAGCAGATTTTTAAAGGGCTTCTGTAGCTTTCTGCTTTATACAAGATACTTTGCTAAGTGTATGTACATAATTACATGAAAGCAAAAATATTCAGTAATGATGTCTGCTTTAATACAAAGAAATTCATATATACTAAGATTCAGGGAAGGAACCAGTTCTGTAATTAATTTAATCTGTTTTAAGTACACGTGTCCTTTATGATACATACTACATTCCTACGGGTTTTTAAAGGACAAAAGGGTTTTCAGTTTTTGTTCTGTGTTTTTTTTTCCCTTCAGTGGAGAGGTCAGCAGTTTCTCCAAACAGCTGAGTTTCATGCATAAACTTGCATAAAATATCCATAAAATCTATATAGCACTTTGACAAATAGAAAATAGCACAATATAAAGTAACAACATATATTGTTTCTTTGTTAACTAAGATCAAAATTATGCTTATCTGGAGCCTTTTGGTTAAAATGACTGTAAATAGATTGCAAATTCAATTACAGCTAAATCATGCATCGTAGAATTTATATTATCCAGAACTAAAATAGATAAAATAGAGAAAAATGAATGTCTGAATGCTGCTGAAAGTTCAATGTAACAGCAATATGGCATTTTCAATTGCTGCACCAGTCTCAAATTTCTGAAATATTTACAAACCTTAGATAATGACAACCTCAGGAGAAAATCAAGAAAACAGACGGTATACTGGAGATAGCCTGAGGCAACCAGTGATGAGGTCAGATCTATACAGTATGTGTGCTTTACATGAAAAACGCTCTACTAAAATGTCTTTGCGTACTGCGTAGAGCTTTGGGATGTAGCAGGTATTCACTAGGGGAAGGTAAGGATTATTTACTAGGATCAGTAACATGGAATTCAATATTAAAACCGACAAAGGTTATCATCTATTACACATTAAATTCACCACAGTTGTTTGACAACTCTCATAGCAACAGATTCCACCCTTAACAATTCAAAGCAATCTTTCAGATTAAAGTTCATGTGATCACTTTAAAGAACTATTCATTGTTAATCAAGCAATATTGCTTCAGGCATCATGTTTGTCTTTCACTTCAGGCTATTTGGTTGATTGTAGAAAATGCTGAATTTCTCTGTGTGAGTGTGCAGAGCTTTGTGTCTGCTACTTGGAAGTGACAGGTGAGGCAGAGAGGAAGGGGCATATGGGAACTGATTGAATAGACTGCAAAAGTGGTAAATAAAGTCCCAGTGGCTGAGTGTTTTGGTGGGCAGGATGAGAAGTATATTCTGCCTTAATAATTGCACAATTTAATTTTGTAGGATATTAACCAGTGATGGTATCTCTAAAATATAAAATATCCATTTAAAACACCTAATTTTATATATATAAATACTATACACATATTCATATATGCTTCTAACACTTCCCAGATTATCTTGATCAAGTAGTACTTTACACATTTTCTAGTCAGAGTTGTTACTCATAGAAAGGTACTTCTCAGAAGAATTAAGAAAATTCAATTCAAACATTTCATGGCATAGAAATCCTCTTTTTTTCTCTTCATTTGGGCATGTCTTACTCTTGATTTAACTATACTCCAAAGGTTCAACAGATGCAATATCCACAACAATAGCATTGTAGGAAAGAGTAAAGATGCTGGGACTGTTACTTGCTCAGAGATCACTTTTGAAGACCCTAGAGTGTTTACTCCAGTGACCTAACACCTGTGGCAGTGCTCAGCATCATTAAAATATTTGTCCTTTTGAGGAAAGTGGTCATCCTGCAATGCTGCCCTAACATCCAACCAGGTGCTGAGTCCAAGCTCAAATGAGAGACTGCTGGCAGTCAGTGGGCAATACAAGTGCCAGAATGGATCCTCTGTTGATGTCCATGAAGAGTCCTGCTTGCAGGTCACAGCACGACCGTTAAATAGGAGTGAAAGACAAATGAGTCATAGCATAGCCTTGCAAACACTGGAAGTGGATATCCCATCAAGATCTCTTCAAGAAACAAGGTGGAAACCATACAGGAATCTGAAGTAATTTGTATTTCTTGATTTAAGGAATTCTGCATTCAACATCCCTCTTTAACGATATTTTTTTCATTAGTCAATTTGTTTGAAATTAAGCTGTATTTCAGAAAAAAGTGGTTTGGAATGATCTTCTGATTCAAAAGTCTTATAGCCAAAGACTTTTTAAGTGGTCAAATATCCCAATTTGACATTTTTAATAAAAATTTACAAGTTTGGCTCCCATTCAAAATAATCCTCCATTATGCACTGAATAAGTATTGTTTATAAAGAACTAAACCCCAAAAAAATGCTTTAAAATTACTGGAATTATACATGGTATTTTACCCAACCACATTTTTTCCTGCAGTCCATCAGTTTGCATAAGTTTCTTAAAACTGAGAGAAACCAGACATTGAAAATTTGTATTATTGGGGTAATGCCTGTTCTACTCAGCTATCCAAACCGTGATGGTTTCCAGTAGAAAAGATTTCATAAGGAAAGTCCTCCAAAATATTTTATATTTTGGAAGGTTACTCATGAAGTAACCTTCTGTCCTTCTCAACATTTTTAGGTAGTTTCTCAGATCTGAGAAAGCATTATCTTATTTCAGAATTAAGTTCAACATCAAAAATGAACATTAAATAAAACTTTTCAAATATTTGCAATCTACTTCAAGTGTGCAAAACATATATCTGTCTCATAACCTTCCAGAGTGTTTATTCCTAGTTAAAGATATTCACACAGTGAGAATTCTTAAAGTACAAGAAAATTAAATAATAACAATTCATTACTACTAAGCATAATGATGTGCACTTATTTTACTCTTTCTTCCTTTACACCAGACAAAATAAACAAGGAAACTGCTGACCTTGCCCTCTAGAAGTGCTTTCTAATTGCCAAAATAATTTTAGAAGAATTAAGGTTAATTTTTTTCTTTTTTAAATATGACGGTGTTTTATTTTAATGATGCTTTGAAATTCCTTTTTAGCCAAAAATAAATCCTGTTAACTGTGGAAGAAAATTCAAATCCTGATGATAATATCCTTGACAAGTCTGTGCTTCTCTGGAGTAAATGAGATTTTACTGTGTTTTCTTTCATTTTCTCTTCATATTTCAGAAGAATGAAAAATAGTTTCTAATGAATCACTGATCCTTCTCTTTTCTCTCTTGTTATATTATTACCCTTACTAAGAAACATTCCCATAAATGTATATCTTCTTTTTCATATCTTCCTAAGAAACAAAAAAGCATTTTACAAAGATTTCTATGGTCATCTTTTCAGTCTGAATTGCTGCCTATTTTCACAATATGTAGATTAATTCATGAAATTTGGATTTTATTCTTTAATCTCCTTTAAAGTGCACATATTTATTTCATATGTGTATATGTGTTCTAGCAGAAACTGTATCTAAAATAAATAAATACATATCAGTAAAGCTAAAAGTAGAAAGATGCTTTATATCAAAGGGCTCAGCATGGAGTTCCAACAGTGCAGTAAATATTACAGAAGGATAGCAACAAAGGAGAAACTCATGGCTCTAGTTAACAAAAACATGCAGCTGTACACGTGCAAGTGGGTAAGGCAAATATCATAAATACCTTTCAGTTCTTTTGGGAAATGCTGGTCATTTAACAGCTCAACCGGGCACAATGCTCACACCCTCAGGAGCTCCAAGTGAAAGCTTCCAAATAAGTGAGCAGTATTCAGTCTGCTAGAGGAGTGAGGCTTTTCTGGTCAATGTTTTTGGATTTAGCTGAAGAAAATGTTGCCAGTCAAGAAGTAATGAGATGTATCTGTAATTAGAGATCTCAGAATCACAAACTGAGCCTGTTTAAAGCTTAGAGGAACAAAAAATAAAGACAGAGCAGGTAACTCTATGTGCAAGGAAATTCTACATTTGTAATTTTTTTTCTTTGAAGAGAGTGCAGAGGAAGGCTCAGTAAGAGTTCATTAGAAAAATGAACACCCTTACAGGTTGTGTCATCATGGATAATTTGTCTATACTATTACAGAAGGGAAGAATTCAAGAATCAAATAAGGGTAAGAAGGATCTTCTAATACTTCCAACATAGCTGCAAGCACAGGGAGTATTCGCTATGGATAAGATACTGTGGTTTTTCAGACAATGATGAAGGATGTGTTCGCTCGTGACCATTGTCAGGCTTGTGATAACATCAGAGACACCACTCTCATCATGCTGCCACAGAAAGTTCCTAAAGATGTGCATTACAACTCCTAAGAGGAGTGTGCAGGGTGCGTGAGCTGCTCATTGCCTAGCAGAGAGATACCATGACTACAGAATGCAGTATATTGTATCCTGTGAAAAAAACTGATACCATTTTCTCTAGGCTCCTAGGCTCAAAATCTCCACTTGAGGTGAGAGACTGCCCTGCATGCTCTGTATGCTTCCACTAATTACTCCCTGCAAGATCTGGACAGGTAGATGGCTCACAACCAAACATGGAACAAAAGTGTAACTTCCCAACAGAATAACTTACAAAGATTATTCTCAACTGGCATGTCCTAAACACTTCCTTTCAAGGGAAAAGTGATTTGCAGAGGAAAGGACAAGGGGAATCTCATACAACCTCCTTTTCCTGACTTCTGTCTTTATTGCTGCTATGCAGAGAATTTAATGGTTTGGGGTTTTGGTTTTTTTTTTTAACTGTAAGCTTCCTGCTAAGACTAAGGTAAGTGAAGATGGCAGATGAGGTCTGAGAGTGTTTTCAACATTCATATATTTGATATTGTTAATATTATTCCTAGATGCTTTCAGTATTACTGATTTCACAAGTTGTATTCCCTTTATTCATTATAGGTGATTCTTGTTTCATTTTATCTTCTGTTGAACATTTTGCTCCTATTTTTAATAGTGTATACGTGCCTAGAGGAAAAAAGAGTATGAGGGGTTTTGGCAGGTTTCTTGAAATGAATAGTAATATTGCTACCTTTTGTGAAGAACTTAGCCTAAAGTTGAGGCAATTTATTTTCTTAGACTCCGAAAAGGAATAATCCAACAATACTGTTTAATTTATTAATAATGGGGTTATGGATAAGGAATGCATATTTAGCTTCATTTTAAGGATCTTAATATTTGACAGTCTTTAGAATAATTTTCTTGCTAGATTGTCAAAATGTGGCCTTTAATCTATGACTATTCCTTAAAATGGTACCACTAACATGGAAAAAAAAAAAAAAGCTGAAAAAAATCCATTAATATTTATGAGCAATCTATTGGGCAAACACTACAGGAAATTGGTATCACTGAATGTATTTGTACCATGCATGTGACCCAACCTTTCTCCACCCATAGTTAGTTACAGAACAAAAAAACCCTTCTGAATTCAATTTTTATTGTATCTATTTACAGTATATATATCTCGCTCAGTCTTAAGACAACATAGAAGGAAGTTCCACTAATAGAAAATTCATGTGATTTTTGGAAGCGGCAGAGTTTGTATGAATTTCTGAAGCAATAGTGATTTTAGTGGAAGCAGACCCTTGAAAGAAGCATTTGAAAATTTTGCCATCACGTTTTTGGATAGGAACGGATATATAAATTCCCTCTGCTTGCACTAATATCGCCAAAGAAAATGTAATTTATCTATTGCTCTGACTTGTATAAACTCATGATATTGGTGGAGAGATGACAGAGTGCTAATAATATTGTATTTTTATATATAAACACATAGAAGAAAAATGGATGATAAAAGAGAATCCAGTTCAAAGGAAAAGACATGCTGACTTTGATGTTTCCCACAGGTGCAGATCCATTTACCACGATGGGCCTTTCTGAGGTGTTTTTTGTTATTTAGACTTCCAACATTAGGATATTTTTTCAGTTGAAACCATTAAGATTGTCATACTGAATCTTGACATTGTTTTAATATCTATTTAGCAAGAACAGGATTCTCTGATCAATTTGTATAGCTAGTGATCCATTTATCCATGTCTATCTGGGACAAGTTCAGCAATTTTAAGGGGTATAACTTACCCATAAACTGTTCATGCGCAGACCGGAGAAGTTCAAGCTCATTTATGCATACATATTAAAAAAAATTTATATATGAATATACACATATATGTCAGTATACATATACTTGTCACATATCAGTGGATCAGAAGGGGGGAGCTCAGAAAATGGTAAGAAAGAGGTGAGAAAAGGCACATTTAAACCTCCATCATCTCTCAGATACATACATAACTGCATCTCTTTTATCAAAGAATCCTTAGGCCTTTATATGCATCTGTTACATCAAGTAAACCACATATCTCCGACTGGCAGGATAAATGTACTTTTAAGCTTTCCCTGATTGCTCACACAGTTTAAAACAGCCTCTGGGCTGCGGGTAGCCTGTCCCATTTGGGACAATAAGGAAAAACCTTATTTGTAGTTTGTGAGTGTGCTGGAGGGTACGTGCACATGGAGTCTGGAAAGACCACAGCTGTGAAGTTCCTGTCTCCAAAAGCAAATGCCTCTCTAGGCAGTCTGGCCTGATCCATGTTTCACACTCATGTTCTCCACGTCCTCCATTCCTCATCTACAGGAACCCTTGCCACAAACTGGAGGAGCTTTTTAACAGGGAGGCTGGGAGCTGTCTGTGCAGGAGAGGGAAGAGACAGTATTCCAGGAGACAAGCACAAGGAGACCCGTGCATGACAGCGAGCTGAAACGTGACCCTGTGGATGAAAGAAGGACATCACAAGTATAAAAAAGAATGTTTTTCTCATGCCCTTGAGGATAATGGTACAACACCTGGTGTGGTTGCAGAGCTGAAGGTTTTCTCTTAGTAGAGAGCACCAACTCTCCATGAACTTCTATCATTCTCTTGGGGTTGGGAAGGTGTGCAGTTTGCCAGGGAATTGTGCCCAGTGTATAGGAAGCTGTCCGATACCTAAGTGTCTTTTTATGGCAGAGCTCCTATTTGCACGATAAATTGCTCAGGAATTGTGGGATAAGGACTCTCCTGAGCAGAAAGGTTTACCTTTTTTGCATATTTACACCCAAGGGTTTTAATCAAGTTGCTGAGAAACATCTTATGTACATATGCAAGAGTGAAGTGAGCGCTTTCAGAACTGAACCTCTTCTCATATATTTTGACATTTTCACTCTATTTGGAGCTTTTGTCTTGTGCAGTCATGCCTTAGTTGTGGCTCTGTACAGTCCCTATTGCTGCAGAAGAAACTTAGGGCTATCTTAGAGTCACACAGAACCAGTCCTCTGCTTGATTAACTGATGAGGGAAATTCTCCCACCTAAAGGTTTCTGAGCATTTCTGCTCTTCCTAATACCCCTCCAGCCTCACAAGTGTCAGCAATCACAGCATGCTTATCCACAGCTGGCAAATCTTTCACACAGATGCAGCATGGTGGGCTTAGGGGATGTTTTTAGGGAACAAATGAAATGCATATGTTGAAATGTGTTTGTGAAGAGTGATGCAAGGGTTTGGGCATCAGGGGATTTGTGAGGTGATGCATGAAGTGCAGTGAAGTCATAGGCTGCTGCTCAGGTACCTACAATGCTTAATTGTTTTTACTGAAACTCAAAAAATTTGAATTTTTACTTTAATTTTTGAAAACAATTTTATATTCTTTAAAAAGAAATTAAAATATCCTTGGAAAATTATTATTGCAAGTCAATAACTTTTATCTTTAGCCCTTGGAGAATGAACTTAGTTTGAGTTGGTTCTGCTACCCTCTCTAAGCTTGGCTCTTTACACCTTACATGGCTGTAAGATACTGGTTAGTTAATATACAGTGAAATGTCAGACAATGTGTGTGCATATCCCTAAGCACAGACAGAACTGTTAAAAGGGAAAAAGAATAATGAACAATAAATGAAAGCCCAGAGCACTAAATTCTGCACTTTTACTTACATTAATTAATGTATTACCTCAAAGATAGATTAACTGTTCCATTAGACCCCACATATACTTGGGTGTCGTTATCATCAGTGTAAAACAAAAAGGCTGGCCTGAAAGACTATATTTTTGTTTAAACAAATGAGCTGAAAAGCATATCCATATCACAGTGTTGCACATGGAAACAAACATAAGTGTGTGTCTGTACCTTTCTTTTTGTTTTATATATATTGTCTCTGCTCATTCGTCTTTCATACACTTTTTGAAGAAGAGGCTGGTTTTGCCTTTCATTCAACCCAGCTTTTAGAGGAGATTTCAGAAGTAAAAGGAAATGTAGTGTATTAAAAACAAAGTCTAGTTACAGTAAAGATAAAATGTAAGTACTGCTTGCCAAAACTGTTGTGAAGAATTAAGTGTGTAAATTTATTCCCCTACTTGCATATGTATGATTTCTTAATATGACAAAACCTAGGCATTGATACTGGAGTGTCAACCACTGTAGTAAATGAAAAAGAAAAAAAGGAGGAGAGACCCAACAAGCCTCTAATAACTTCTCAAATACAACAATAGCCACAATAAAAAGGAAGAAATTCCATTTCTATTTCTTTTCTCCACAGCAGAGATAGCTGGCAGTATCTCAGGCTGAGCAAAGGACTATCTTCCACTTGGTCATATAAACCAGCATTCCCTGCCAAGAACAAGGTAAATATCTAGCTGTATATTATCCATGTCACTATATCCCAGTATAACTAAAATATTGTCAGTGTACTAAATATTTAATTAATATAGATCCACATTTTTGTGCTATTCATGGTGTCAGTCAAAATG